AAATTAGTGGAAGAAGGCAAGGAGGTGATGCCTAGAAAGTTTTGAAGGCCACCAGGTAATTGTTTGGTCCTTGGGCACGCTCTTGACGAAGGTCAGTGATCGCCTTGATGATTCCTGTTCTGAGAAGGGTGTTCTAGCCAGTCCTCTTTCTCAAGGGGAACAGGTTGGCTATCGTCGGTTTGGGATTGGTGGAGGCAGAGAAGAGTGATTTGAAGAGATCAACAATGGCCTGCTGGATGAGAGGAGCATGGTCTAACACCATATTAGCAACTTTGATGTGAGAGATAGTATCATGCTTTCTGCAATTGGTAATGTTGTGAAACAAGGCAGTATTGAGGTTGCCATTCTTGAGCCATGTAACCCTGGAGTGTTGGGACCAAAAAATTATTCTTTACGTGGGAGAAGCTCATAGCTTAATTTGCATTGGGTTCTTGGATTGCTTTCGTTGGACATCAGGGCATGACTCTCTTCAATGGAATCTTAGGGCGGGATGGATTGGAGTATTTCTTATGTATGTGGTCGGAAATTACCGGAGAGTTTGCTTGCCTAGTCTGTCGAGCTTTGACTGTGAAGGGTTGGTAGAATGGTTTGACCAAGCGAAGTCTGACCCTGGGAGAGGGGGATGTCAAGAAGGTGATTCCTAACTACAAAGTCGGAAAAGTCGAGCATGGATGGGGATATCCTATGGTTGGAGTTTCACTCAAACGACCAGCTGGTTACATTGAAATCACCTCTGATGCAACATGTGGACGAGGGCTGAGAGGTGACTAGGTCGAGGCCCTCCGAAAAGGTCTCTAATTTGGAATTATGCCCACAAACAGCAGCATACTTCCAGGGGAAGCCATCGGTAAGTTTGGAGAAGGTCACAGAAATAGAGAAACTACATGGTGTGGAGGTTGGATCCCAGATAATCTAGATACCACTGGAGGAGCCATGGGTTTCCAAGGCCTCCCATTGCATGGCCTGGAACCCCAAACTTGGCGAATGAGGGGAAGCGAGAGATGTGGGAGTTTGGTTTCTACTAAGCCCAACATTGTGGGCGAATCTTTTAGGTGTAGGTCATGGACGGTCCTCTATTTGGCAAGGTCTCCCAGACCATTGTTATTCTAGGTAAGACTCTTGATGGAGGGGGTTGGGTGGGGTGGCGCCTCTAAGGGAGCACCAAGGTTGCTGACTTGCCAGAGGGGCTGAGTGGGGGTCCAGAAGGACTGTTGAGCCTGCCCGGTCGTAATTGACTGCAAAGGTGAGGTTTGCAAGCTCTCATTGCCGTTTGGCACTTACTTGAAATCTAGTCTGAGTATCCGATGTGATAAATGCCTCAATGGCCTCCTTTGGTTTGTCATATACGAATCCTAGTGCCCTTAGTACTTGAAGGGTGTCTCCTTGTGCCTTGTCCATCCCATTGACAAAGTTTGAGTCCATCGAGGGTTGGGAGGCGAGCAAGAACTGGCCGAGGCTGGGGATTGGGGACTTTTGGGGGGGGAGGAAGGCTCTACTCTAGGTCTATAGAGTGGTTTGCCCAAAAGAGATCGATGGATAAGATGGGGGGAGCGGAGGAAAGCAGGTTAATTGATTCCTTGGGGTTTAGGAAGGGAGTTGGAAAAGGGAATGCGTTGGGGGGAGTTTTGTCAGTGGAGGGTGGGGGCTGGAATAACAGCCAGAGAGGGAAGGTTGAAGAATTGGGGATTTGGATTGTGAATGGGATAAGCCTTAAGTGAGGAATGGGGAGGCCCCGTTAGCTGCTGCTTGGTAAGGGGGAGTGAGAAACCTTGGGAAAGAAGGACAGTCGTGCAATGAATTATTGATAGAGGGATGAAAGGATTGTCCACTTTGGGGGGGGTGCAGCCTGAGAGGGTAGGGAGGATGATGGGGAAGAGGTGGGTAGGGGAGGGTTCCTAGGGCCAGGGAGATGGGGGATTGGGGTGTGAAAGGAGAGGGTTGAGGAGCATCTCCATCGGCCATGGATGAGAGTTTGGAGGCTCTTCCAAGAGTGGTGTTCCGAGAGTGGGGGTTGAGAGGTACAAGATGGTGTGATTGAGGGTAGGTGCATATTGGTGGGCGAGGAGAGCATTTGGGGTTGGGTCAAGGGGATTTGGGGTGAGGTGGGCAAAGAGGGTTGTAAAAGTGGGGTCAAGGGGTGAGGTGTGGGTAAGGAGGTGGGGCATGTTTTGGGAGGAGTTGGAAGTTGGGGAGGGGGATGAAGCGAGGTTGATGGAGAGGGTGGGGGGAGGGAGGAGGGGGAGTGGTCGCTGGGATGGTTGGACGGGTGGGGAGCTCCGCCGTACCTAAGGGTGAAATGCAGGACACAATAGGGGGAATGGATTGCCGGGAGGGCTCAGGCAGCAGTGGAGAACAGGTTTTAGAGAGAGACCCGCTCTTTTGTTTGGGGGTGGGGGAAATAAGGAAGGGAGATTGAGAAGGGACACTTGCTCTTCAGCCATGGGAGAAGGTTTTGGCTGTGGAGGGTTTGGTGCCAAGGATGGTGGGGGAGGGGAAGGAGGGAAAAATGGGGTTTTATGGGGATGGATGGGTCAGAGGAGGGGTATGTGAAGATGAGGTGGCGGCTGTTGGATTTGCACGGGTATTTGCCATTAAGGGGCCATCTGGCATAGGGGAGGATGAACGGGTGGGTCGTCTACTGTCACAAGGAGAGAGAGGGCAGCATGATGAAGGGACTTCCATGTGGGTGTGGCAGCAAATTGGGCCATGTGGCGTGGGGCAGCAGTAGCCTCAGGATGGGGAGAGGAAGGGAGTCCTGGGGTAGTGCTGGGTGTCCTTGTGATAAAGGTAACTTGATTGGGCCACATCACAAGGGGGGGTGGTCATGTCGGTCGTTGAGGGGTTATTGGCTCGAGGGAGAGGGAGGGTTGGAGGGACATACGTCAACCCTATGCGTGTGGAGGGGTTGGGGCTACCTTGTGCTATGAGGGTGACGCTGACATTGGATGGAGAGGAGGTTCATGATGAGCCCTTCGATTGGGTCTTGGACTGCGATGGTGGTTCCTCGTATTGTGTCTATGGGTGACCAGCGTCCCACCATTGTGATCTACGATTTTATTGTGATCATGAGTCTGGATTCCTGTGTGCCCCACTCTGTGGTCCGTGGCATGGGGTTGGGAAAGTGGGGAGGCCACAGTCCAAGAGATCTGTACCTGAAAGAACCGTTGTTCTATCTCAATCCAGAGTACAGGAGTGAGGAATGGATTGATGGTCTCCACAAGAAGCTGGGTGGTGCCCACGGGGGAGAGATTCAAAGGATTTCTAGTGGATTGATATTAAAACTCCACGAGCCTCACTGATGAGCTTGTAAGTGTTGGGATGCCTAGTTTGGATGAATGAGGATTCAGATTTTCTATTTTAGTGTAGCCCCCCAGTCCTTTTTTCACTTGGACAGGGTGATAGAGGGTCCCTTTGAACTGTGGGCGGTTCCAGTATAGATTTTTGGGCAAGCTCCCCTGGGAAGGGAAAGAGAAGGGGCATTACCACAAGATAGTCTCCTGCAAGTTAGGTTGGGTTCAGCCCAAAGTTGTTGGCCCCACTTCTCTGTGCCTCTAATGTTTTCTCTTTTGGGACTGAAGTGCCCTATTAATGAGTTCTCTAAGGAATTTTCCAGGGAAGTGATGTGGTGTCCGCTTAGGGAGATGTCATTCGGTAGGGAAAAATGGAAAGAGGTGAGGGGGTTGGAACCTGGTGGGATGGAAATGCCAGGGTAGGAAGGTAGGCAGTTGGAAGGGGCAGAGTGAGGAGGATTTGGGAGGGGTTGGGTGGGATGGTGTAGACTGCAGGATTGGGGGCACGACAAGGATTGGTGAGAACGAGGAGCTTTCAATGGGGCAAGTTTAGAAGATGGGGGTCGGAAGAGGTGGGTGTAGTTTTGGTAGAGAGAGGAAGGGGAGGACAGGGGTTCCCCTCCAAGGGAGAGGTGAGGGGGTTGGGAATCGGGTGGGATGGAATGCTAGGGTTGGAAGGTAAAGAGTTGGAAGGGGTGGGGTGAGGAGTATTTGGGAGGGGTTGGGTAGTGTTTGTAGGGGTGGGGGGAGGACTGGGGTTCACGTCTGAGGGAGCCATCTTGAAGGCTTGTTCAGTGTTAACTTTACTATCTTAGGAAGAGATTGATGAGAATTTGTGACGAAACATGGATTACGGAAATATTTTGGCTGGATGAAAAAGGGCAAATCTGGGCTGATCTAGCAGAGATTGGGCAGCAACTATCAGGAGATAAGGAATGGATTGAGCATTCTATTGTGGAAAAGAACTTCTGTATGAAAAACTAGAAGTGGCCTCATTCCCTTGAAGAATCAAGACAAAACAAGTAATTTCAGATGCGATCGCTGCTGTAGGCTCCTCCTGTACTCAAGAAAAAAAGATCATCTGTTCGAGGATTAAACTGCATGCTTCCCTACATATACCTACCCTAGAAAGCTTGCTTGCTATTGCTACATGGCAAATGAAATAGGTTTGAGTTTGGATACTTTCTAGAAGTTTAGGTTCTTGGAGTTTGTTCCTAAAATTTTAGCCTCTTTGGTGCCTGTCTGGAAGTTCTGTTTCTAGCTTTTGTTGTTCCCTTTACTTCCATTGTGAAGTATCCTATAAGTAGTTCCACAATCCAAATTGCATACTGCAATCCTAGATAATGAATGATGGTTATTATTGGAAACGTCGCATACTTTCTATATGTGTATATCATGAGTGTCCTCAATTGAGCTGTTGCCAATTCTTCTGTTCATCATGCCACCAGCTGGTCAGGTCATTTGCTTTCTCTGATTCTTGTGGACGCGCCTTCCCTAACATTCATCTGCTTTGGATCCTTTGTATTTCCTTGAACCTGTGTATGAATGGCCACTCCTACTACATCATTGTGTGAAATTGAGGTGGAGACTATTTTGCATTGTGGACTAAAAAGTGTATGTTTTGGTAAAGGCATATTATGATTTCAATTGTAAATTTTTTTTTTCAGATAATCTAGTTTGTCCCTTAACTGATTCAACCCCTTCTATTAGGTGTTCAACTAACGCTGAGGGCTTACCTTCCATGCCAAAATATTCTTCCTATCACGAGGAGCAGCCTGACTTGCAAAAGATGCGTGTAATAATTGGCAGTCCACTCAGATCTGCAAGGCAGCAGATTTTATCAGAATACGTAGCCTCTGGCTTTCCTTCATTTGATGCAAAATCTACAGATCCTTGTCAGAAATTCAGCATTGAAGCACCTAGCAATGAGGGGAGCACCTGTATTGAAGGTTTAAGTCGTTTCACTATTTATTGTACTAGTGACTTCATCACTGTCTCAAAGGAGGTTTTTGTCAGAGCTCGTAGGGTGCGATTGCTTGGCCTTGAGGTGTAGTAGTCATTTTTAATGTAAAGATTTCTGAAGCATTTATGGCATTTGATTTATGCTCTGTTTATAATAGCCAATACTTGACAATTACCGTTGTTTCAGGGTGCTGGGAAGACCTCCCTATATAATGCCATTATGGCACAGAGTAGAACCTCGACTGCTTTTGACCCTCAGAGTGTGCATCCCATCATGGATCCCCAAGAAGGAATGGCTGGTGGTTTGTACTATGCTGATTCAGCCGGTGTAAATTTGCAGGTACTTTATTTTTTTGTTTCCAATAATTGCATTGGGGCTTTTTCGAACACTTGATCACTTGATTACTGCTTTCTTTCTTCGTAAATCAGTAATTTTACTTTCTGAAGACACTGAATTCTATCATCCTGTTGGCATGTTTCTTTCGTTTTTCCATTCTTTTCCCCTTACCTTTGTTGTTTCCGTTTATGTTTGTTTTTTCTGTTTGAGTGCTATATGTTATCAATTCTGGTTTTTGAAGCTTGAATGCAACAGTTCTCTCTGGAAGATCCAGTCTCCCTACAAATAATAGCTTATAAAAGTGTTTTACTGGGAGATCCTCTTAATGCTGGTCCCTTTATATATCTTTGTTTTTATTTTGTATTTTTTATTTTATTTTTCTTTAACATGGTTGCCGGTTGTGCATATTAGGATTTACATTTGGAGGTCCGACACCTTAGGGAGGAGTTATGGGTGGGTGCTCATCAGAATAGGAAGATTGACCTGATTGTACTCGTGCATAACCTTTCACAGAAGATACCACGTTATTATAATAATCAGCCAGACGCTTCATCACCACAAGTACAACAACCGGCACTCTCACTTCTTCTGAATGAGGTTTCGGCGGCAGAGATCCCCTGGGTACTTGCAATCACGAACAAATTTTCAGTCAGTGCAGATCAGCAAATGGGTGCAGTGAATGCAGTGTTAAATGCATATCAATTGTCTCCAAGCGTGGCTGTAGTTGTCAATTCCCATCCATATGTTACTTCTACGGGCCCTTCTGCTAAGGGATGGAGCATAGATGAAGGAAACTCTAAAGGGTTGGCCAGTGCTCAGAGATTTATCCTTGCTCCTATCAACCTTGTCCGCATGCCTTTCCAAAGGAGAGAAGTGGTCCTTCCCGTTGAGGGTGTAAACACACTTTGCCGGCTTATACATCATGAGCTTCTTGGTCATGAGGAGACGTCTTTGCAGGTGAATGTCACAAAACATTTCTGGATCTTCCTGACCTGTGCATGTGCATTTGTGTCTCTGTGTGTGTGTGAGAGAGAGAGAGAGAGAGAGAGAGAGAGAGAGAGAGAGAGAGCAATTAATGGTGGTAAGATGTGTGTGAGAGAAGAGAGAAATTAATGGTGATAAGATAAACAAAGCTTGTATTTGTTATTGTAGGAGTGTTAGATACTTGGTTCTTGTTATTGAAGGAGTCAACTGCTCTTGTTTGCTTTTACGTCACTGAGCTGAGTCTTTCTTTTCCAGATTCTGATTAGTGTGTCTAGAATATACTTGTGATTGAAGGATGTTGCTCATTGTCGTGTTAGGAACTTGCAAGAGAGAGGCTTTCATTGGAGTTGGAGAGGGAGCAGATGAGGGTGAGAGACAGCAGGATGAGGGATTTTGAGGGGAAGGGGAGCTCTTCATCTGCGGCTGCTGTGGGGGCTTCACTGGGGGCTGGTCTGGGTCTGGTTTTGGCAATTGTCATGGGTGCAGGTTCTGCTTTAAGAAAACCCTAGGTGTAGGCGCACATCCATGTTCCTTTTCCTTTTTTTATTTTTCTTTTGTATCTATTTTATTTATTTTAATTTTTTATTGGTGGGCACCTATCAGATGTTTAGCACGATACTAGAAACCTGTCCAAGTTTGCTCATAGCCCGTGCCTTTTGGAGTAGGTGTATATGCAAGAATAGAATCCATATAACGACGTGCAAGGTCATAGCTTCATTATTTATATGCAGGAACTTGGTGCAAGGGAATTCGTCTCTTGTATGAGACTTTTCTCAATTTTGGTGTACCTTAACTATTTCTTCACATGCGACCGATGACTTCCTGCTGCTTGGATGTGGAACGGCTAGGTTTGGCCTTTTCTAACATAAACATGCACACAAAATTTGAGAGATTTGATGTCCATGAGTTTTATATATAATATCCCACGTGTAGATATCTGTAAAATCATATTGATGCCTAAGTGCAATGTATGCTTTCCTGGGGAAAGAGATTGTAAGCTGCCTGGTCTAGTTGGGCTGCACAAATTCAATCTCAACAGATCCGATGGCCAGCATGCGCGGGCATTGTTTTCATATTTTTCATCTATATTCAATCAACCTGTATGTCCAGGTGTATGCAAAAGATAATATGCTAAAAAATTGACAGAAAACCAATGAAATCTTGTCATCTATGCTTCACTTCGGGCATTTTGGCCCTCAATTGTTCCATAGATCGGGAGGCTCAGGGAACCTCCATCCTTCTTTTCCTTAATGATGGGGGATTCTAATCCAATCGACAACGGAATTCAATAGACATCGATTGAATCGTCTTCACCATCCAATGATAGCGGTGTAGATACCCGACCGGCCTAGATATTACTCCAATGCTTCACTATCATCTTCTCTTTTTTTTAGTGTTTTCTTTTCATTGAGAAATGAAAATGGTATAGTTACAAAGAGGAAAAAAGAGAAACAAAGACTGAAAAAGAAAAATCAAAATATGGCGTACATGAAAGGACTAAAGGGGTTATTTATTTTTTGTATATGGATGTTATAATTATTCTCACTCATTACATTCTCACTCATTAGATGTCAAATTAAATGTCTTGGGTGAGTCATGAAGTTCGAGAAATTTTTTTGAAACTGTCTATTCAATGACATTTTTACTATCATCCATTTTGGAATTTAAGGGACAAGAATGATTGTGACTTCAATGAACAAAAGATAAATGATCTCTTTTGTAGACAATTCTTGAGAATGCTACGTAGCAATTTGCATGACCTCATTGTTCCTTTCTATGTTGACCTGGAAGTATACAACCTCTCTATTATTAAATGAACAAGGATTTTAGTCAATGATTGATGGCCAAAGCCAGCAAATGGTTTCAGGATACGTACACGATGTCCTACCATTCGCTGGCTCTCCTTCCACAACTAGTTGATTATGTTTAGAGGAAAGTTTAATAATCTCTTGCTTAAAAGCTCACTGCTTTGCCTTGTTGATTTCGCATAGATGAATCTGGTTTTCTAAGTCCAAAGGATGTTACCTTGACTGTCTCTTACTATTCCCCCATATCGAGTTGCTTTGCCTTGTTGATTTCGCATAGATGAATCTGGTTTTCCAAGTCCAAAGGATGTTACCTTGACTATCTCTTACTATTTCCCCATATCCAGTTACTCATGCTTCACTTTTCGTATTGCCATCAAAGTTAACCTTTAGCCAGCCTATAGGGTGAGGAATCAATGTAGAAGGTTTGATGTTTTTGGACCTTTTGGCTAGTAAGAATTCATTGGGAATATTTTTAAATTCAGAGTGTATTTATGCCCAGTGGATTACAGTGGTTCTCGTGGCATTTATGACCAACAAAGGCTCCCTCGTCTTACCTTCAAAATTTCTAACATTCCTTTCTTTCCATAAGTTCCAACACAATCTTGCAATCACGATATCACAATTCTCCAATGATGAATGCCATTTTTTGAAAAAGGGAGAGATTTGCCGTGATCAAACAAACATTCTCTCCCTGTGTAGAGAGATAGGCGGTTATCAAGCAAACAAAATGCTGCAATCATAATACCCCTAGAAGTTTTGGCTAATGGAATTCTTAGAAACCCTAATTTTGAGCCTTGAGGACCACAATAAGCCTAGTGAACCACAGTCTACTTAGACCCATTAGGATTGTCTCGAAACTACCCAAAATCTGTCCCAAGCTGTAGTAGACCCCAAGAACGTTGCAACGGTCCAAGAATCACTCAAATATGACATATCATTGAAAAGCTAGAGGCCGGGGAAGATTGTTCTGCCAAAATGATAGAACAATTCGTCCGGCGCGAGCCTCCTCGGGTCAGGCTTGCGCCTCGTAATTTGTAGACACTCCTGCGGCCCATAGTATGCGGGTCGCACCGCGTGTTGTGCTACTCGATGGGCCTGGACACATTGGGGCCTCTTGCAAATCCTATCTTAATTAGGATTTTTAAGTCGATAAAAATTGGAATATTTTGAAGAAATCCAAAAACGGACTCATTCCTAATCAAATTGGAACTTGGAGATTGGTTCCAATATTTTCAGCCTTAACCCTCACCTGAACCTATAAATAGGAAATTCCCTTGAGAATATTAGGAAATTCCAAAAAATTAGGAAAATAGCCTTGATAATTAAGAAAATAGCCTAAAAATTCCTATAAAACTAAGAAAATTCAGGAAAAATCCCCAAAAGCCCTAGACAATCCCCAAAACTCAAAAAATAATAGGAAGTCCCAAAAAGTTTTAAATACAATAGAAATCCATCACCTTTCCTTAGGGAAAACCCACATGTAAGATCCCTTAGCCTTCCTCAACTCGAGAAACATCAAATCTAGAAAAATCAACCCAAAGTCCAGAAACTACAGTAGCCAAATGTATTCATTAAAAGATATGGCGGCACATGAGCAGCTGACTTGAGGGTTCCCAAGGTATGTAGTCTCTCATTATTCTTTTTGAAATTTACTATAGCTTTAATTTTAGATTATTATGTAATTTTCACCTTACTCACATCTCTAAGAAACATTAGGTAGATTTTATAAGCTTTTAAGGTCTAGTAAATGGATTCTAGAGCTGGCACTGCTAGTAGATTTGAGTGACACCCACTCGCTCTATCGATCTAAAAATTTAATTTGTTTCATAAAAAATTTGAGTTGATCTCACCCAGAGATAGATCCAAACTCGTGCCTAAACAATTTGACGCTTACCATGGGGATCTCAAGCTTTAGATCTATGTATTTAAACCACAAAAATCTTCCTGTAAATTCTAGCAGTATTTTCTAGAAAAATAGAAAGGACATAGACAGTGATCACCGAAACTTTCATCCGAAAGATTCCATAAGTCAATTCAGAGCCCACAACATGATGCAAACCGCATCGACTCGTGCAGGAACTGTACAAGCCGAGTCAACTCTCACGGCTTGAGCCTTTGTAGCTCGTGCTGTACGAACACCAGAAATGTTTTAGGCCATCTCGTTTTTGGCCTTGTCATGACCCTCTGTAATTTCTATGTTCTCTGATTTCTGATTCCAGTGACTTGAAATTCCAAAAAATATAAAAATAATATCGCGCTTTGGCCAATATAGATTGGGTTTTCTCTTATCCAGAATCTACGATTAAATTATTACCAAAAGGTAATTCTGACCATTGCCCTTTATTGGTGTCTATATCTAACTTACCCCCTAAATATTTCACCACATAGAAGAAAGTACCATGTTTCTTGGATATCATATTTAATTCTTGGAATGGAAGGGTGGGGGTAATCCCATGTATAAGTTTGCTAGGAAGTTAAAAAGACTGAGAATAGATCTGCGTCACTAGAATAAAAATTCTTTTGGTTATATGGGTGCTAAAATATCTGGCATCCGTCGGTATCTCTCTTCTCTTCATGATAGTCTGTGTAGCGATCCATCTAACGAGGCATTGATGTTGGAGAAAAAAGCCTACACAAGTGAGCTGCAACAATTATTAGCCCATGAAGAGAGTATTTGGAGACAGAAGTATCGATAGACATGGTTGTAGGATAGGGATTCTAATATTAAATTCTTTCATCTCTCTAATATTGTCAGAAGAAGAAATATTAGGATTTTTTTACTAAAGAACCAAAATGGGATTCCAATTCCTTCTCATGGCCAAATTAGTAATCATATCTTTGAGGACTTACTTGCACATGAATGTAATGTTGACACCCATTTAGTACGCTAATTCTTACCTCCTTCACAATTCAATATGCAGCAATAGAGCCAACTTATTAAGGATGTCACCCTAGAGGAAATTAAGGCTTGTATATGGAATATGGCGAGTGAACGTGCCCCTGACACAAATGGCTTCATAGTTGAATTCTATAAATTCAGCTAGGAGACGATAAAAAACGATCTATTTGTGGGACCTAAATGACTTCTTCAAAATAAGTAAATTCCTAAAATAAATAAATTCTATTTTCATTTGTCTTATTCCTAAAGTCAATTCTCCTACTGTAATGAAAGTCTTTAGGCCAATTAGTTTATGCAATGTCTCGTATAAGCTCATTAGCAAAATCTTCTCTATCATATTGAGGGAATTTTTTGATACTAGACATTTAACTTTTTTGAAAGAAAGACTTATTACGAACAATATTTTAATGACTAATGAACTCATTTCTTTATGTTACAAGAACTCATCCAGAGCTAAAAATGCGCCTACAATTAGATCTAAGTAGTGCATATGATAGAGGTTTTTGAGAATTCACAATTATCAGGCTGCATACTTTGGGTTTTCTAAATCTATTTATCTTTTAGAATCAACAGTGTATTACAACACCGGCCTTCTTGGTATTTCAAAGGCAAGAGAGGCTTACGACAAGGTGTTCCTTTATCTCCATATCTTTTTCTGTTGGTTTTGGATTTTCTTAGCAAGCAATGTGGTGTCTCAAGGAATTCTTCTTTTGCCTTTTTCTAATAGTTGTGATCATGGGGTTTCACATGTGTTTTATGCTGATGATGCAATCATTTTTTATAAAGCATTTAATTTAGCTGTCAAAGCTATCATCTCAGTTCTTTGATCTTTTGAAAAATACCACGGGGCAAAAATTGAATGTATCTAAAAGTAAATCCTTTTTTTTTGGTGCTTCATATGATTTTGAAGGAGTTGGGGTTTGGTGAAGGATTTCTCTCGGTAAGATATTTGGGATTGCCTCTTTTCCATGGGGATTTAAAACATAGTCATTTCCACACCTTGTTGGGAAATGTTTTTGGTAAGATAGGTTCTTGGCAGGCTTTGTCTTTATCTTATGCAGGTCGCTTGCAGTTGTTGAAATCGGCACTTAGTTTTTGGATCTTATCTTTTATCTTGCTTACATGCAATATGGTTGAAAGGTTGTGGGGGGGTGCTAGGGATCTGTGACATCTCAGAGTTCAATATGGTTGGCATGATAAAATTGGCATGGAAAATCCTGTCTAATTTGTCCTCTTTAATAGCTTGTTTTTTTACGCACACGTGTTTAAAAAATTCATCTATATGGGGTGTT